GTGGGCTCGCAGATCCAGGCAAAGGCAGAAACCCTTGGTAATGAGTATCCAAGGCTTCAAAAGTAGCATCCTCGATCTTGAAAGAAACAATGAATGAAACACACGTATTAGCAAGATCCTGAAAACTTCTAAAACTGCGGTCGATTAAACCATTCACTCCACATCCCAGCAGTGGTACACCATCCGGCTATGAAAAACTGAAGCCCGTGTGGTAGGTACCTAATTCCATGTCAAACTGAGGCTAGCTAAAAGTGGTAGGGGTGGTATTCAACCTGTCCATTAGGTCACAGACCGACGGGACCTCCTTGTGGGCGTGGCCTTCTCCTAAGGAGGGCTCTGGGAACCTCCCCTTCTCTCTCTTCACCTGTCAGAGCCCGTGATGCTTCCTCTGCCAGTGGATCCACAAGACTCTGCAACCAACACATGGCTTGAGTCTGAAAAGGGACTGCTCTGGGCTGTTTTCTCGACACAATTACTTCTAGATAGAAAGCATCTCCTCACACATCGGTGAGGGTCACTGGCTTTGTTTCGCTAGTCAACCTGCCCGCATCTATTGGCCAGAGAAGAGGTTAAGGTGCTCCCGATGAAGTACTGAGTGACGTAGGAAGCAGGTGACAACACTGGTAAGCAAAACGTGATTCCATGTTTGCAAAAGGCCAGCACACACGTGTGTGTGTGTGTGTGAGTGTATTCAGAAGAAAGGGAGTCAAGGAACACCTCCAGCTGTCAACCCTGACGACCTCGGCCGCCAGGAGGCCGGGGAGGAACTAGCCTGGGCAGGTTTTTCTTTTTGTTTTTGGTTAGCTGTCTTTTCTCATGTGTTTACAATAACTGTGTATTCATATTTACTACACAAAAAGTTAAAATACTATGTATAAGATAATGACAGCTGTCCAGTGTTGACTGAATCTGGTGGGGAGGGGGGATCTGACACTGTAATTTGGCTGACAAAACTCTTGGGAGCTGGCCAGACGGAAGGGGAATTGGGGGGGGGGGCTCCTAGGTAGTAGGCAGCCCAGCACGTGGCCCCAGGGAAACAGACTCCTCCCGGACTCCAGCCCCAAAGAGTCCTGAGGAGTTCTGCCATCAGAGGCCTGGGCCCTGGGGCTCATGGGTGATCCCGAGCACTGGACACCACACGCGCATTTAA